TAAGCTAATTTTGTGCACATGACCGAGATCAGCCAAGTGGTCCAATAATATAAATTTTGACCAAAATTTGGATTTCCTCCTTTTTTACTGATCGCCTCCCATATATTAATTAACGGTTAATTAACCAAATCATAAATAACTGTTATTTTACTATCCCTAATTCTGAGAGTAATCATTTTAAAGAAATGATACAATTGTCTCAAAAGAGACAATAGAAATTATTTCAAAAGAAGCGATACAATTATCTCAAAAAAGATAATAGAAATTGTGTCAAAAGGAACGAACTATCATCTCATAAAAACAATAGAAATTATCCCTAAAGGAATGAACTATCATTTTTAAAAAGATAATAAAAATTGTTCTTAAAGGAATGATACATCATCATTCTGAAAAAATAATTTTTTTATCATTCTTTTGAAATGATATATCATCATTCTAAAAGAATAATATTTTTTTATTATTCTTTTGAAATGATTAAATCATTATTTCATTAGATTAATTTTTTATTATTCTTTTAGAATGATACTTCATCATTTCTTTAGAACAATCAAAATATTGTTTTTTTCAAATGATTTTATATTGTAATCCAAATGATCTTCAAGAATTGAAAAATGTGACATAATAAAAGTGATTTATCAAGTGATCAACATGTGGATTGATCTACATAATAATCTGCACAAGTGATCTGCAAAATTAACCAAATCAGTTAATAAAGAAATAAAATAATAGATCATTACCCATGATGACACGCATAACCTTCTAAACTAGAAACTTCAAAATGGAACTTTAAGAAAAAACTAGTTAAAGGCTAAGCATAAGGATGTAGTAATAATTTAAGAACAATATAATTATATTCTCTACATCTCTTCAAATATATAAATATTAGTTATCAATCAGATTAATACCTGATTGATGAATATTATTAATTAAAATTTACTAATTGATTTTTTTGCTCTGTTTATAAATAAACTTTACTGATTATTTTCAATTTATAAAATAATAAATTTTACAAAATTGTTTTCAAATTTATTAAAATTATCTGATTATTTTAAATTTATTTAATAAAATACAAATAAATTATCATTACAAATGAAATTGTTTATTAATAGGTATGGTATGACTGCTATAAAGTTTTTGTACATTCACTATAAATTCACTTGGTATAAGTTGATGATATATATTATAAATTAGGATAATGCTATTTTTATCAATCATATAGAATTTATTTTTTCAAAACTCAATATTATATAATTTATCATTAGATTTACAATAAAGTTTTGTTTAAAGTTCAGGTACCAGTAAATGCCATTTTATAAATGCTAAAATAAAGTGTTTTTATTCTGGTTGAAAAATCAAGTGAATGTTCAAAATAGTATTATTATACTTTACCAGAAAATATGTCAAATTGAAATTGATCATCAAAATAGATAAATTAAGTAATGAAATGATTGACATAAAAGTAATTACTTAAAATGGTAATAAAATTGAAGAAAAAAAGAATTAGAAATAAAAATATAGTCGAATTGCGATAAAATCTATATATTGTATGAAAATCAGGAATTCTAATTTATTTAATTTAATTTATAATAAGATTACTATAACAAGTATAAAAAATATATAAATTATAATATAATCACTTGAAAAACTTCGTAATTTGTAATTGAAAAATGATTTTCAATCATAAGTTTCTTTTATGTTCGTATTTCCCGGAAAATAATTGTAGATCACTAAATCCAATATCGTAATTACTATCCCCGTCAAAAATCGCTACGTTTGGATTTTTTATTCTACTCAGAATAATATCATCAATTCCTTCTCTGTACCCGTCAGACTTGAATGAAAATATAAAACATTGATTTGTCGCAATCCACTTGTTAGAACTACTCCATGAATTGGGATTATATCCTCCAACAATAACATTAGTCTTGTCAACTTTTGCCAACACTATGGTTGGTCCTTTATTATCGCATCGCGAGTGAAAACCGTCTCCTGACATGCCATCCCTATTTCCCCTTGTCAATAAAATAAACCTATTTATATTATTTATGCCACCGTGAATTCCTAAATTATGACTTCCAACTATCCAACGTGATATAAGTTTAATTTGATTTTTGTTAATTAATACAGAATCGAAATCTATGTCGGGACTTGGTGATAATAAACTATCTCGGGAGGACTGTGAATCGGTTTCAGGCACTTTAGCATTATTATCACAATCGTTAAAATCATCAGGCCAAAGTTTTGGTTCCGAAGCAGTTGAGTCTACCGTAACCTTATTAGGCAAAATTCTCGGTGGTAGCGCATGTGAGGGTGGTTTACTATTTGGCATGATATAATATTTTTCTACATCTTCTTTCAATTTTTCTGGTAATACCATTCCATAAGGACGAATGTCTTCAATGTAATTAGCAGCGGGTATGGTAAAGAATCGAATAAACTGAATTAAATTACTTAATCTATCTCGCAATTTCGTAAAAACATTAAGATCCCAATTTTTAATATCTAAATCCACGATAGGTGGATTCTGCTGAACCCCCCATTTAATCAAATATTTCCAAATTTCAATTTCTTGCAAACCTAATTCATCCCGTTTCAATAAATCAATTAGAATCGATTCTTTTAATAAATAAAATTTGTCGGATTTAAACACTAATCGAGGATCCTCATCAATTAAGCGAACACAATGATTACATAATTTTTGAATTGTTTCTCTACCATATGATATTTGATAAATTTTAATTAAATTATCTTTAACCCAATCTGAATGATTTTCGATAATATAATCTTGTAAGTAATCCACTAAATCGTAAAGTTCTAATTCATCGGCCGCAATTATCAAGTCAAGCATGAAAAACACGGATTCTTGATTCGTGATATCATTCAAGGAAATGGTTCCTGTGTAAATATATCTAAAAACATTAATATAAATTGAGACAGGTCATTGGGTTATTAATATGGCACAGTTCCACAAACAAAAAAAAAGAAAAAAATTTTTGTTTTCTTTAAAAGAACACTCACTTTAAAACAATTTTAAAAGCATCAGCAGAGATATGAGGTACTTCCAAAGTGAGAACATTTTCTTTCTTAAATAACTTGTTCTTTTTAAGATCCTTTAAGACATTTTTAAAATATTGTGACCTGGCTTTTAATATTACCGTATGTGCATTAAAACTATTTATGTCGAACCCTCTACCAATTTTGAGGATGACATTATAATCCTCATCAAATTCATGAAGTTTTTTAAGATCCCTCAATAAACCTTTCGTCAAGTCGGCTGTCATGATGATGTCTTCGCTCATTGAAAAAAAAAAATAAAATAAAAATTGAATGGAAAGTGATGAAGGCTAAAAACAATTTTTTCAAAAAAAAAAGTTATTCAACTCTTTTTTAACACTATCTTATATTATTTTTTTTGCCGTTTCACACATTCAACGCACAAAAAAAAATTTATTTAATATAATTCTTTTTTGGAATTAAAGCAACCAGTCCAATTAGCTTAGCTAAAATTTGGAAAAATTTTTTATATATTTTTTAAACTAACCAAACTGGGCAGAATAAAGAAGTGCCATTTTTTAATTGAGAAGTTAAAAATATAATTATTTTCCTTAAAATAGTATCACACATACAATGAAACATTAGTTGCATGCTTAATCATTATCTTTATAAAATCTTAAATTTCCAGTTCAGATTTATTATACCTGACCAGCATTACTTACGATTCCTTATCAAGCGTATCCGATCGGATCACCTATTTTTATTTAAAAGGATTCGGATTCAATCCACTATTCAAAAGTTCGAACGTGAAAAAAAATTTTTTTTTTTGCTTCATGGATTATGGCTTCAAATGGAACAACAGTGCTGCTCTTAACATGTTTTATGAAAATTCTAAATATGGCTAATTTATTTTGAATTCGGTCATGCATTTGAAAATTAAATTATTAATTCATACTTCGTGTAACAACAAGAAAACTTACCAACTAAAAATGGGGCTAATTTTATCGTTAAAATAAACAATAAATTAATATTAGGCTATATTACGTAATACCTGCTATAAATAAGAAATGCATTTTGTGACTGTCACAAATCCAAACATCTGGAATATTTAACCTACTGTAATAAACTTGCTTTTGGGCAAAGTGGGATTCCTGACATAATTTCAAACATGAGAAATAACACGTTTTAACGCAATTTCAAAATATAACTAAATTTTTATTTAGTTTAAGAGGAGGAAACAACTTCTAAGGCTTTTTCTGACGATGCTGAGCCACATAGCGAGTGATCCAACCCTGAATAGTTTCTAATTTTGAAATTTCATCATCTAATTCTTTTTCCCCAACCTTTTTATGCAGATTTTCTAGCATTATTTCTGCTTTATACCGATTACTCTTATCCAATTTTCCTTGCAAAAAATATCCTTCTAATAAAACCAACCTCTTTTTCCAATCTGTATTCCTTCTCTCTTTTTTCCATACTTCTGGTTGCTTTTTAATGCCCATCCAAGCTTGAGAGAAAAATCCGAAAAAAATTTTCATTCATGAATACATGAATACTTCTGATAAATTGTCAGACGTTTTGTGAAAAATCTTTGACAAATTAGTATTTTTTTTTGAAATTAAGAAAATATTTCAGCATACAAAGTTATATAAAAGAATAACCTAGTTTTAATTTTCTTAACGCCTGATTTTTTTAAAAATAATGGATCATTGATAATATTAAGGTAATGTTTATTTGTTTACCAACTTATTACATCAAATAAATCACTTCCGCTCACCTGTACAAGATGCTAAATATTGTTATGGCGAATCCGAAACCTAATTTCTGACGAAACTTCGAAACTAATTCATCACTCATGACCATCGAACCCTCTGAAACCTGACGAAACCTTCAAAACCTAACAAACAACTATATTTTTAATGAATTTAAATACTGTATATTAAATTTAATCACAATAATCAAAGCTTATTAACCCGAAGTAATATAACTCAGGTGTCAACACCTGATTATTTATTAATTTATTCGCATGAATTTTTCTTTAAAATTTTTGATCGAAAATTAAAATCAATTATTCACGCGAATTTCTAAATTTATTTAAATGCGAATTTTTTTTATTACATGTAATAGTTTAAAGATTTAAAGATTTTCTATTTATTTTTTATTTAAGTTAAAGTGAAATCACCTGGGTGATTTTCACTTGGAAAACAGTAATAATCAAATAAACTAAATAAACTTCAACTGCTAAATTAGGATCCCAATATTTATCATTTCCTCCTGATTTATTTTATCATTATTAGCTTTCTCTTCCAAATAAATATTCGAATCTTCAATAAATTCATCAAGACCTAATAATTCTGATACATCAAGATCTAAAATATTATCTAAATAAAGAGTATTACACAAACATGTATAGTATGGTTTTGAATGTATGTATAGTATAATTCTTTTTTTTAAGTAAGTATTGTATGTATACCTTAAAAACCACACATGTATGGTTTTTCATAAGAATTATTCCATACTTGTGTGGTTTCTAATAGTTTCTAATACTATACGTGTATAAATAAAAAACCATACTATACATATATTCAAAACTATACTATAAATAAATGTTAATTTTATCAGTATTATTATCATTTTCTAATACATCCATATCATTTGTTTTATCATCTAATTTTTCAAATTCATTATCTTCATATGAATTAGCATTATATAAAATATATTGCAATTCCTCACTTCCTTTTCCAACACCATAATGTGGTTACTTTTTTTTGCATTTGCAAGAACTAATGCTGCTAATTTTTACATACTTTCAATTTTTCTAAACTAAGTCTAAGTTATACGCTTTTCATAAAACCAGCAAGAGATGATCATATCCTTGTATAAAATAATTCGTGATCATATTTTCTAGGTACTGTATGTTTATTTTATTTTATTTTACTAATTCATACAATTCTGCTTTGCTAGAATTTTCTGAAATTTATAAAAAACTGTATAAGGAATTATTGAAAATAGTTTAATAGCAAACTATGCAATATAATTTTGATTTTTTGGTAAAGAATCGCTTATAAAATATCATTATATCATAGTAGAAGTATTGAATTCAAATTGTAATTCATATGGTAAAATTTATTTTATAGATAATCATAACATTATTTTTTCATGTTTTTACTTAATTTTGTTATTTTATTATAAAATTTATCAGCTGCTAAAAAAATGTAACAAAATTGCTTTGTATTCATATTTGATCTAATAAAAATATAAAAATATTTAAAAAATATTTAAATTATTTTAAATATTGTATTTTATTTATCACTAATATTCAGATGTAAAAAAAAGCATAATAAATATGTATTATCATCAAATTTAAATTTATAAATCGTTAATTAATACAATCTTATCAAATTTTCAATAATTTATTTTTTAGTAATTTTTAATAGTTGCTTCTAATCATGTTAATTCCAAATAATAATCTGCTAAGATACTTTTTTGTGATTTCAAAGTAATAATACATTTTTAAAATAAATGCAAAGCGAAAGTTAATAGATAATAATTATTAAAAAAGAATAGCATTGTAAATACTTCATATTGCAGTAAAAAGCATATAATTTGAATGCATCTGAAATTATTATAATATTTTTAATTTATAGAAGATATTATAATTTTTGAATCAAAGCTAAAATTTTTCAGTACAGTTAATCACAATCAGTCACATTAGTCATATTCAATTATATAAAATTATAAATAAATTTTTTTTTAAATATGTTACTCTCTATTTTAATACCATTAAAAAATAATTGAAAAATAATTGGCATATTTATCAAAGCATCAAATTACTAATTACCTTAATATTAATAAGTTATCTATTAACTGAATCTGTAAAAAATTTCAACAATATAACATTATATAAAATTTACTTTTATTATGTGAAAATTTATATATACTAATTTAAAATACCTTAATATTTTCTTGTAAAAAAGAGATAATCAGTATATATAGAAACTTTAAAGTAAAATAAATAACTAAAAAAGTTAAGCAGTTAGATATTATACTATTTAGCAAGCATTACATTATTTAAATTATACTCATAAAAAGTTTATTAACATGAATTAATAATTTCAATCTTTTATTTATTTAATTATAATAATAAATTTATTATTTATATTTTAATTATCAAAACTTGCAAGATAAAGAAATCAAAATGAATGTGAAAATTTCTTACACAAATGACTTAATATACTGCTTCTTAACTGGTTTTTTTCTGATGAATCATCTTATGATAGATAAACATTATCATAAAAATATGATTAGAGTATTTTAGGTTATTATACTCAAAAATCTACATTATTTATATAAGGCAAAATATATATAATCAAAGATACTTATATACTAATGATCTTTTGGCATATAGAATTTAAGAAGAATTGATAATTTCTCAAAATTATCAATATTTTATTAAAATTATTTTAGTAAGTATAATTTAAATATTTTACTATAAGTTACAGTTTTATATCTAAATTATTTATATTATGTAACTTCTAAAATCCAGAAATATATAACATTTTAGTTTATATATTAATTCACAAAAGTCTTAATATATGTAATCTTTGTAATGAAAAGGATGTTCAGCTAGAATTTTTACTACTATACTTATCTAACTACAATCTAGTATGATTTAATATAATTAATTATTTAATTTTAATCTTCTTATTTTTAAATTTATAAATATTTATATATATTATTTCATAAATAGATCAAATAAACCATTTTATATGCCAAAAAATTTTTACATTAAATCAGAAATAAGAATGGGTCTACAAATAGGCAATTGCAATTTATAATATTACGGAAATTAAGGTCTGATTCTACAATTTCAGCTAAAATTAACATAATTTAGCCAAAATATATATTTAAAATTTATTAAAACATAACACCGCTAATATCGATTCAAAAATGCTGATTTACTACCATTCGAATTCTCTAACTGAGTTGAATCGAATGGTATAATTTTCATCAAAATCCAATCACTGGATATTATTCTGTCACCAATAATTATTAAATGTTTAAATAGTTTTATATTCGTCAATATTAGTGATAGAAAGATGAAAATTATATCATTCGAATCCTCTCATAGAGATGAATTGAATGATATAAATTTTATCAAAATCAAATCATAGGACCATATTCTGTTTTCAAAATATTTTAAATGTTTATATAATTATTTCTCCGTTAATATTAATGCTAAAAAAATGAAATTTATACCATTCAAATCCACTCATAGAGATTAATCAAATGATATAAAATTTAT